GGAGGCATTACTTTTCATTCAACCCTTGTAGATATGTGAAACTGCAGGTAATAGTGAACCTTACTGAGTGAACAACATCTAGCTGAAACATACCATAGAATAATGCTGGAGGACCTAGGAAATGCCTAGAGAATAGATTGTTCTAGATATTGCTAGGTTCTCCATCACAGCTGTATGATCAACTTTGACAATAGCATACCACAGGATCTTGTGGAGGACATCGAAAATGCTTAAAGAAGACATATTTTGGCAAACGTGGGGAAATGAAACCTGTGGCTTTGTGGGTCATACTGTAATAATAAATCAGTGGCTTCAGCTGTGTTAGAAACAAGAATGGAGCAAATCTGAAAGAACATTAAAGATCTCTTCACTGAACTGTCCTTCAGACGATTTAAAATAGAACAGGAACCATCAATTTCCTTCTTGTTCCAGCCCCTTGATAACATAATACTCCTGAGTTGCAGAAGTTACTGTTTCATACTATTCAGCCTATTTTAATTATAATGCTTAAAATATCTCCCTATCCTTGGCTGAGAATATTCCGTATTAGTCACTGAGAATGTTCCCTTTTTATTTCAGACCTGTTTGCTGCCAACTGATACTTTGGAGCCCTTTATCTAAGCCAGGACCACATAGCCAGTGTTGTATTATAATAGTTGTGTTAAAATATTGAGGGAGCACAAATTAAAGCCATTTTGAATCATGTTTGTGCTTCTTGTACTGATGAAGCATCTAATTGCAAATTTAAAATGTAGAGACATCATGGGATGAGGAGATATGTAGGAGGCGAGTGCCTTCTAACTGTACACTTTGGGGTTTTTTTGTTCTGACTTCTCAAAAAATGTTCAGAGGGAAACATTTTTCCATGCTGGTAGCAGTATTCCTGGGAATTACCTTTCTTTCTTGCCTCAGGCTTACAGTTTCAGATCTGCTTTCCTAAATAGATTTTTCTTTAGATTTTTTTTCTCTCATCTAGGGCATTGTTTTATCATTCTTCTTAAGGCTGCTCTTGGAAAAATTGCTATGATGAAGGTGATATCGTAACTCCAGTGTGAACATGATATAGTTTCCTTATGTTTTGGAGTTTTGTTCATAATGATTTTATGAAAATGAATGCCTGTATTCAGAAGTACTGAAGGTGGCTGGTAGGAGGTGTGAGAGCATTTTTGCCAAGTTTTGGCTCCACCTACAACATTTTAGGGCCAAGAGAAGCTATGTTTATAATTTGCATGTGACCTCAAATCTCTCCTTGCTGTTAAAACAAACCCACAGATGTTTGTGGAGGCCTTTTGAAGCAAATGGGTTTGTTTTTCTGCTAGAAGTATAGTGGGAAGAGTGTGACCTGATCCCAGTCTAAGGTTTCTGGTGAGAGTGGCTGATGTGTCCACCTATGTTGCTTGCTCTGATTTACCACCTTATCAGACAGGCAAAATTGCCTGTCCTACAATGCTTTTACCTCTCTTCAGGCCGGATCCCATCACATGACGTTGATCTACTTTCAGTGAGGCTCTGTGCCTGAAGAGAGGTGCACACATTGCAGGAAGTAGTGCTGGCAACATGGGGTGCTTCCTGTGTTGCATAAACAATGGGGAGAAGCCAGGCAGCACTGCCTCCCCCCCCTCCATAGGATAAACTGCGGGTCAATCTAGGACATAGCTACGGGTTCCCCACGCCCCATACCGGATTCGCCATGATCCATGGTGAATCCTCCCAGTATCTCCCAGATACGAGGTCCCAATGTTATGAGGTCCTTAGTGTTACCCCTAGATTGCTCCTTATTTTTGTCTGTGCCTTTTGATGGAAAGCTTTAATTAAGATGTTTTACTCTGTAAACTAGTTCTTTTAGCTGTTTAACTTTTCACATTATGTTAATTTTTTCATCATTATTTGTTTTTACATATTTTTGAGTATTTGTTTTTGAAAAAGCCATATAAAATACTATTTAGCACCTTGTAGTAGAATACAGCATGTTAGTATAACACACATTGCTTGTCCTCTGGAAGTAGCAAATTGTACTACCATACCATTTTATGAAATATGGCTCAGTTTTGTTATTGCAATGATGAAGCTTCCACAAAGATCATTCATCCCTCCCAACCACATTTTCTAGTCTCCTCTTCTACCCATCAGAAATCCTTCAAAACAGTGGCCTTTTCACATTACAGAACTATAGTGATATGATTCGATTTTATCTGCCATGATTACATCATATGGAATCTGAAGATTTGCATCATAGGGAGATGAATTAGATTTAAAATTCTCTATTCAGATGTGCCCATGACAGTTAAAATTCAATCATAACATGATTACTGTGTAAGGTGGAGGTCCCCAAACTTTTTAATCAGAGGGCCAGTTCATGGTCCCATAGACTGATGGAGGGCCAAACTATAGCTTGAAAAAACAGGAATGAATTCCTATGCACACTCCACATATCTTATTTGTAGTGTAAAAAACATGAAAGAACAATAAAATATCTAATTTGATGAACAATTTTAACCAACATAAACCTACCAGTTGAACTGTGGTGTTGGAGAAAAATTTTGAGAGTGCCTTGAACTGTGAGAAGATCCAACCAGTCCATACTTCAGGAAATAAAGCTCATTGGAGGGAAGGATATTAGAGGCAAAGATGAAGTGCTTTGGCCAGATCATGAGAAAACAGGAAAGCTTAGAGAAGACAATGATGTTGGGGAAAAATGGGAGGAAAAAGGAAGAGGAGCCGATCAAAAGCAAAGTGGATGGATGGTATCCTTGAAGTGACTGGCTTGACTCTGAAGGAGCTGGGGGTGGTGATGGCCAACAGGGAGCTCTAGTGTGGGCGGGTCCATGAGGTCACAAAGAGTCGGAAGCAACTGAATGAATAAACAACAACAAACCTACCAGTTTTTCATTGGGAAATGTGGGTCTGCTTTTGGCTGATGGGATAATTAGAATTGTTGTTGTTGTTGTAGTCGTTGTGTTCTTTCAAGTCATTTCAGACCCTAAGTCTAAAGTTTAAAGCAGGCCTGAGTTAATGACCTTGGAGAGCTGCATCTGGACCACGGGGCCTTAGTTTGGGTATGTGGACCTCAGGGCTGGGACAATGTAGAGGGCTTTAGGGAGAGAGGAGAGGAAGGGAAATAATGTGATAAAGCTAGCAGACAGTGAATAGCACAGTGGTGTATTTAAGACATTTTGTTTAACACAGTTTCTCAACTGTATAACTGTTTTATAATTAATAAGCCTTTGTTAGTTAGAAGATTTTTTTTGTGCCCCATGCCAGGCCAATCTTTAATACTGGGGTTTATTTAAAAGGAGGGGGGATTCTGATCTGGACACCCACAAACCTAAAATTGGCATAGTGAAATCAATCTTTTGTAACTTGACTGTGTTCCAAAAATAACATTAATTCTGGGCTTTTGTCATAATGTAAGGAGAGAACAAATAGCTCAGCAGTTCCAGCAACATTAAGAGATCATAGAATTTGCAGTTATCAACACAAATCCTGTTTGATTTGGATTGTATTTAGCTTCTGGGGAATACCAGCATGAAACTGGGATCAGGCTTTGGCTAACGTTGAGCCTCTTGTGTGCTGCTTCCTGAGCTTCCTTCCACTGTGGACAGAAATTACTGATTAAATTGGAGATCCCGTTTCTTTGCATGTAAGGTTTCTGTGACCCTCTGAGAGAGAATCTGCTAAGAATGAAGTCCTCGAGTCAGCATCTCATTATCTGTATAGACGCTTAGAAGAAGCTATCAATCAGTCAGCTATCTCCCGTAGCCTTGAAATAGATTGATAAATTTCAGCTTTCATGATGATTGTGGATGGATTGAGCAGCTTGTGGTTTGTTGAATCTAATAGTACTATTATGTCTTTATCTGTCTTATTGGGATCATAGTAATTCACTAAATAGAATGTTCTGCAGAATTTCAGTTTGATAGCATTTGTTTTAAAAGAAATCTAAGGAAATAATTGTATCTTCTGTAACTAATAAAAATGCAGAGTCATGATCTGAAGAGATTTCTGGTGATTTTTTAAGCCTATCTAAAATAACAAGCTGTTTTGCAAAATACAGTGTTCCCTCGCTACTTCGCAGTTCACTTTTCCCAGACTCGCTGTTTTGCGGATTTTTGCCTCCCAGTGTATGAATGGTTGTCATTGCCCAGAGCGGCATTCTAATCCCACCTTCTGCCAACGATGGAGTGTAGAAGGGGATTTTCACCCTCCCCCTTGGGTGATAGACAGCCAGTCAAGAGAGATTGCAAAGCAAAGCAGAGGTAGCTAGCAAAGAAAAAAAAAGGTGTGCCGTGCCTTTAAATCTCTCCTCACTCCTGCCTCACCCTCGGAATGCAATATACAAATATAGCATCCCTACTTCGTGGATTTTCACTTTTCGCGGGTGGTCCTGGAACATAACACCCCCAATAAGTGAGGGAACAATGTATCTTTAAATGTTCTCCACCATTTTTCTATTTGGTACATGTATGTTACAGTGCAGGGACAGGAGCAAAAGTATAAAGGATTCAAAATGGTGACTTGAGTGCCAGCATATTGATAACTTTGCTACTGGTAGTAACATGCCAAACAAAATGAAACAAAGATAAACAAAGATAATCCCAACACTTTATGAAAAAGACAAGTACTGATACCATTTCTTCTGGTGAGCTTCACCTTCAGGAAATGTGGTGTCGAAGGCTTTCATGGCTGGAATTACAAGGTTGCTGTGAGTTTTCTGGACTGTATGGCCATATTCCAGAAGCATTCTCTTGTGGCGTTTCGCCCACATCTATGGCAGGCATCCAACAGACCCCTCAACCCCTGAGGATGCCTGCCATAGATGTGGGCAAAACGTCAGGAGACAATGTTTTTGGAACATTGCCCTACAGCCTGGAAAACTCTCAGCAACTTCAGAAAATGAAGGACAGCTCTAAATAAACCCGCTAATTGGAGGGGGCGGTAAAGATTCTGAATGTATTTTGGAATCCTGTTTTAACTTCTTAATTTTATACTTCTTTTCAAAGATGATCCAGAAGGTGCCTTCACGTCACCAGAGATCGATGTAACTGGTAACACTTTTGCGGTAAGTAACAACATTTTGTGTAGTAGCTTAGACCTCCCATCAGGAAATCAAGTGACACTTGTGAGGTTAGAGTAGAATTGCCAAAAGCTAGAGAAACTTGATTCCCATTTCCTTAAAATGTTGAATGTATGGTTCTGTACTTTTTGTTCATTAAAGATAAATGTGTACATGTGTATCTACATTGATTTTGATCCCCATTTATTTTCACAGTTTTCAAAGAAGTAACTGTGGCTGGATCTAGACTGCACTATAACCCAGGATCTCAATTCATATTTTCTGTTTATCGCAGATTAATCTGCACATAGGATCTGATCCCAGTACAAAATCTGGGATCAGCTCCTGGGATATAGAACACTGTAGATCCAGCCTGAGTTTGTCTCTTTCCAGATAACAAGAAGAAAAGAAGGTAGAGAAGGGGAAACATGAATCTAACAGCACTTTAAAGATTTTATTATTTTTATTTCATCGTGAGTGTCTATGAATATCAATCCAATTCTTCAGAAAGAGGCAAATCATGACCCTTGTGGGGGTCATTAGTAAATGGTCACGTTTCGGGATCTTAATACTTTCTTAGGGCGCTTCCACACAGGTCTTAAACCCTCTTCCCAAAGTTCTCCTGCATGCCAGGAGGACTCCAGAACCATCTTAATGGTGGCCCAGTAAGTTTTTTTTAATTTAAGGGCCCACAATTGAGACTCATCCCCAGGTAGACCCAGGACTACTCTGGAATGAATCCCCACACATCCCCATTAGACCCAGGCTTTTTGAAGGTCCAGATCTAATAGGATATCGAATGAATTCGGGACAAATCAGGGTTTTCCTGAATTAATTCACTTTTACCTGAGGCGTCATTTGGACACCTCAAGTAAAAGTCCGACAGGGCCTGCATTTTGGGCCCTGTCTGGAAGGGCCCTTAGTTAGTCTTAAAGGTGTAACTAGATTCCCATTTTTTTCCTTCTTCTCTATCCTGTTCTCCTTTATTTTTGTCATATATTTCACCGTTAGAAATGTTATGGTACTAACAGTGTTCTTGTCCCACATTAAACAGATGGATTAAAATCAATGAAATATGCATAAATGTTGACTTAACAAAGTTCCCGTTGATGTAATGGGTCTGTTTATGTTGCGATAACCATTGCATTTAGGCCACTGCTGGTAAGGAAATGACTCCATTGTAGGTCATAAAGTGAAGGAAAGTTGCTGGACTGATACATGTATACATTTGCATTTAGCATCTTATATTCTAAATAAAAATTGATTTCTTTTTTGCTTTTTGTTGGAATTATTTCTTTCAAGGGCTACTTGCAGACTTTATAGAAAGCTATACAATTGCTTGATATCTTCTATAAAAATCATGATAGGGTAGTTAATTTAATTTTCTGGTGTGACAAACAAACCAATGGATCTCTCTGGTCTACTGATTCATAAATGTTGTTTGTTTAATTGACATTAGTGCTTACATTATTTATGCTAATTCATTTGCTTTCTTGATCGGAAAAATACTGGCCCTCTCACAACATAAATGTTTCTCCTGAAAATTCTATTCAGAGTACTTAATGTTTTCATGTTTCCACTATGAATTATACTGCAAACAGCATAATTAGCAACATGGAACTATGAACATCTACTTTATAAGGTTGCTATGTCAAAATCTTCATCAGTCTTCTACATTTTAAAAATGGTAAATGAATTCTGCTAATAGATCAGCAAGATGTAAAGCAATTTTTCACATTGCTATGTTTCTTTTTGGCTTTGTTCGAAGACTTTTCAATCTAAAGGGCAATTATTCAAACATATAGATCAAACATACTGACACCATATTATGGTGATGAATTTGTTAGCAGTAATTTCAAGTTTGGCTCGTGGCCAGTTGTGCCTAATATGGCTTTTTAAGTTTTGGATAATCTAATGAACCATCTAGAAACTTGAGAGTGTCCGGAGAGGCTCTGCTCTCGGCCCCGCCCCCATCACAGGTATGCTTGGTGGGGACGAGAGACAGGGCCTTCTCAGCGGTGGCCCCCCCGGGTATGGAATGCCCTCCCTAGAGAGATTAGATCTGCTCCCTCCCTCTTAACGTTTTGGAAGCAAGTCAAAACGTGGTTGTTTGAGCAAGCGTTCACAAACACAGAGTAACGGATATGGATAATTGATATAGGAAATTGATGATTGACGATGGAATCGGACAATGCTTGACAATAAGGAGACGCTAATGATGTTGTTTTTTTATTGCTGTTGTGGTTTATGTAATTGTAATGTTTTTAAATTGTATTGTGATACTATGTATACTGTTTTGTCGGAAACCGCCTTGAGTTACCGATAGGCTGAGAAAGGCAGTATACAAATACAGTAAATAAATAAATAAAACACATATTTATTTCTTCTTTTTTATAAAATAGAAAACCAGATTCTTTCAAAGAATGAACCACATGGGATTGATGGCTTCATGTTCTTTTTTGTCTCCTTCTTCAAAAGATTGCCACATCCCTAGTGTCATGCCTAATGGACATGGAAGACAACCAGTGCTGGGTTTACCATTGTACTTAGGTGTGCTTAAGCACAGGGCCCATCTTCCTGCTAAATATTTTTTGTGTGTGATGGATTTTACTTATGTGATGCATACCCCCCCCCCCAGGCAACATCTTTGAAGACAGCCAATTCTCTCACATCAGAAGCAACTTGCAGTATATTCTCAGTTTGCTTCTCACACAATAAAAAAACCTTGTTGCATCAGCTCCACTGGCTGCCACTGAGCAGAATTCAAAGTGCTGGCTTTGACCTATAAATCCCTAAATGGTTCTGGACCAGCTTACCTGTCCAAACACTTTTATGAGCCAGCTAGAACACTAAGATTTGTCAGGGAGGTCCTGTTCTTGGTCCCGCCACCTTTGCAAGTGCAATTGATGGGAACAAAAAACAGGACCTTCTTGGTGGTGGCCTCTCAGCTGTGAAACTCCCTCCCCAGCAAGATTAGATTGTCCTCCTTCCTCCTAGCATTTAGAAAACAACTTAAGATTTGGTTATTCAAGCAGCCATTCGGTGAATGACAGAAATATGGAAATATGGAAGAGTTATGACACCGGGATTGATACAAGACCTAAATGTTTTATGTTGTATCTGTGATTGCTGTTATAGTTTTATAGATTTAATGGTTTTAATCTATTATTATTATTATTATTATTATTATTATTATTATTATTTGTTGATTTCATATGTGATGTTTGTTTGTGTGGGGTACTGCATTTTGCCATTGATTATGTTGTGAATCACTTTGACAGCTAATGCTCTCTGCTTTTTCATCAAGCAGCCTGGGGTGAATTATTGTTTTTAGCACATTCCATACCGATACAATGGTAATCATCATAAAGGCCATGAAAATGTGTAGCATTGGTTTAGACATTCTTACCTTTCTTTGGGTGCATCTGCACTGTAAAATGAATTTAGCTACCAACAATGTTTGACAGAGAAGGCTAAAAGGCCTTGCAAGGCTACAAATTCCAGGATTCTCTAGCACTGAATCATGGGAGTTATAGTGGTGTCAAACTGCATTAATTCTGCAGTGTAGAAGCACCCTAAATCAGCCAGAAAGCTCCTCAATATAAGAAAGGATTTAAGATCATAAAGGGGAGATGAATATGGAGGAACTTTAAAGAAGAGCTTTCTTCCAGTTTGGCTGAATCATGAACGTTCTGTTCCTTTTTGTTCACTCTCTCTTCATTTCTTGATTCTGGACAGCGAAGGACATGGTTGCCAAAACTCTGAAATCAACCATCTAAGAAACCAAGGGAATCCAATGCCACTCCTACTTCAGGAAGGCCAGAGAGATGTGGATAGCTAGAATGTTTAGCTATGTACAATAAGTGCTTTTCATTTGGGAGGTGTTTAAAAACTTTTGTTTATGAAATTTCGATCTCTGAAAATCCAACCCGATGCACAGAGAGGGTTCCTTCCATATCTGTGATGTACGAGGGTTGAATGAAAAGTAATGCCTCCACCTTCGTTACTTGGGTTTGGATGGGAATATTTTAATAAATCAAACACAGAAATAATCCTTAGAATGTGCTCTTTAACTACCACTATTCACTTTTCCACATAATCACCAGACAATTGGATACATATCTGCCGATGATGAAGAAGTTTTCTGAAGCTGTCACGGAAGAAGTCAACACTCTGTTTCCGCAACCAGCGTCGCACAGTTCTCTCATCCTGGGTACCCAACGTGCACAGATCTTCCGATAGCCAAGCAAAGCAATAATATGACCCACACGTTCTTGTGAAATGCCAATTATACTTGAAATTTATCTCTGAGTGATACAACGATCATCCTGAATCAATCTGTCAACCTCTTGCTTGTGAAACTCGGTTGTTGCTGTCACAGGACATCCAACTCTTTGTTTGTCACACAAGTCAGAGGTTCCCACCCCAACATCTTTAAACTTACTCGCCCAACAACACACAGTACTCACATCAACACAATCACCATAAACAGCTTGCATTCTCTGATTAATCTCCTTTTGCTTAAGTTGCATTGACCGACCATCTGCACAGGGTTCCATACTTTACACTTTAACAACACAACCTTTCAATGCTGAGGCTTCCCACCAAAATGGAACTGTAGAGGAGAGTCTACTGAACAATCCAGTACCTGCTGCATACCAGTACTGCCATCTGTTGAGGAGTTAGGAAGGTGGAGGCATTACTTTTCATTCAACCCTCGTATAAATGTTTGCAGCATCCAACAACTTTCTTCTGAAAGTATTTTCCTTTCTTTTAATAAAATAATACCTTTAAAATTTGGGAGAATGAGGGTTTTTTTAAGGATGTGAAAGTCATAAAACTGTATATTTGGCTGCTAAAAGCACCCAAGTTATTGGTCTTCATAATTGATTTCAAAATCTGTTATATCCGTTCTCTTTTGGAGAGGAAAGAGGCTAGTCATCCAACACGAAGAATGTTCCCCAGTGATTTTTTTCTAAGTGTTTGCAACAAAGCCAAGTGCACAG